GAATAATGTGCCGTTAGGGCCCAAGTGGAGAGGTCCTTATGTTGTTCTTTTGTCTACCCCTACAGCGATAAAAGTAGCCGAAGTGACTCCGTGGATACATCACTCCAGGGTTAAACCAGCAGCAGCCGATTCTTGGCAAGTTACAGCAGATCCAGAGAATCCCTGCAAGATCCGGTTAAAACGCACGACTCAGTCGGAGTGACGAGGAACCTTGTGGATTACAAATTTTATTGTTTCAGAGACTTGGTAAGTGAGTGAGAAGGCCATAATAAAGCCTGTCCACTCACCAACGAGTGTATAAGTCAGGGAAAGTCTTGAGGGGACCCCTGTGAAGACGAGCAGAACTCCATTCCCTGCAGCCCTTACATCCTGGAAGCTGAGGTGCCTTCGCACGGACGAAGACTGAGGATGACGACGAAAGATGTATTTTTAATAATGTTTATTTATGTGTATTTTTATATTCAGGAAGGTAGAGGTACCGACACTCCTAGCTGTGAGGTATGCATTAAGACTACAAGAACAGGTAACCATATATCCCAGACCCTAATTTGGCATTCGCAATATGAGTGTAAAGGAGATGTATCAAGATGTAGATACTTAAATATAGAATATAGTGTGTGTCATTTAGGAGTAGGAGAACCTAAGTGCTTCAGTCCTGAGTATCAACCCCGTACAATTTGGTTGACTCTCAGAAATGGAGATCCTCAGGGGACCCTAATTAATAAGACGGTATTAGAATCCGTATATTCTTCAGGTGCTCTGCTATTTGATGCGTGTAAAGCAATATCAAGTGGTAGAAAGCCGTGGAATGTATGTGGGGATCTTAGATGGGAGAGGACGTATGGGTCTAACGATAAATATATTTGTCCCAGTAGTAAAAATAAATATGTAAGTCCAAGATGCCCAAATAGAGATTATAACTTCTGCCCATATTGGTCTTGTGTGGGGTGGGCGACTTGGGGACAGACAGCAGACAAGGACATGATTGTGACTAAGTTGCCTACTGATCCATATTGTAAGTCTATGGAATGCAATCCAATCCATATACTTATAAATAACCCTGACAAGTTCTTAGATAAATATGGTAATTTATTTGGGTTTCAAATATATGGGACGGGTTTAGACCCTGGGACAATATTGTTTATAGGGATAGAGACTGATACGGTAACCTCCCAAACTCATCAAGTATACCATTCCTTTTATGAAGAGATGAGCATAGATAATAAGATCCCCCATAATGCTAAAAACTTGTTCATTGATTTAGCCGAGAGTATTGCCGGTAGTCTTAATGTTACCAACTGCTATGTGTGTGGAGGTACTAACATGGGAGACCAATGGCCTTGGGAAGCAAAGGAGGTAATGTCCGGTTCTGAGGCAGTTGACCAATTAATATCTACACAAGCCGACTATCATATGAGTGTTAGAGGTAAATCTGAGTGGAGATTGAAGACCTCCATCATAGGTTATGTTTGCATAGCGAGGAAAGGAATGATGTATAATACTTCTGTAGGAGAATTAACTTGTCTAGGGCAAAAAGCTTATGATGATGATACAAAGAATACAACTTGGTGGTCGGCTTCAAATGTCTCAGAACCATCTAACCCGTTTGCAAGATATGCCAATTTAAAGGACGTATGGTTTGATCTATCCATCACATCTAACTGGAGAGCCCCAGCGAATTTGTACTGGATCTGTGGTAAGAAGGCCTATTCGGAGTTACCACAGGACTGGGAAGGGGCATGTGTGTTGGGTATGTTGAAACCATCCTTCTTCTTGTTGCCTATTGAAACAGGTGAGACTTTAGGTGTTAAAGTGTATGATGTGAATCATAGGAAGAAAAGGGGACCCATAGAGATAGGTGCCTGGGAAGATAATGAATGGCCTCCCCAGCGTATTATAGATTATTATGGGCCAGCCACGTGGGCAGAGGATGGTACCTTTGGTTATAGAACCCCTATTTATATGCTCAACCGCATTATAAGGTTACAGGCGGTGGTTGAGATCATTACTAACGAGACATCACAAGCGCTCAATCTTCTAGCGAAGCATAATACCAGGATGAGGACAGCAGTTTACCAAAATAGATTAGCCTTGGATTATCTTTTGGCAGTAGAGGGAGGTGTATGTGGGAAGTTTAACCTGAGCAATTGCTGTCTTCAAATAGATGACGAAGGGCAAGCAATAGCTGAGCTTACTAGCCATATGGTTAAACTAGCGCATGTGCCTACTCAGGTATGGAAAGGGTACAATCCAAGTAGTTGGTTTGGTAGCTGGTATGAGTGGTTTGGAGGGCTTAAGGCAGTGGTAGGTGGAGTCCTACTGATTTTAATGTTGTGTCTACTCCTGCCGTGTCTTATACCCTTAGTAGTTAGGTCTGTGCAAAGCCTGATAGAAAATATAGCAGAGAGGAAGGCTGCTGCACAGATAATGGCAATTTATAAATATAAGGCTCTAGATCAGGGAGAACCAATGCAGGAAGACGAGTGTTGAAGATTCACATCATAGGATAAGTCTGGTCTGGTTCAAAGGTAACTTGTGGTGTATGCAAACCAAGGTTAAGTGATGCCTCAAGTAATTGTAAAATATCAAGAGGCATCAAAGGGGGGAATGTGGTGGAATCTCGGTAAAAATAAATTTAGTAGGCCGAGATTACCACGTGGCATGTGTACGTGCATATGCTGACGTATCGATCAGTTGGTTGCACGAGGCAAGATACGATCAGTAGTGTACGGAGCATGTGCAAGAATACAGGATGTAGTATTCCCCTCCTCCATTGTGCTGGACAAGCCATGCGGTCAAGCAGGAAGTTAATTCTTATTTGTAATGATTGGTCAAGAGAATGTGCGGGTGGAGCTTAATATGGGAGGAGTTATGTGCCTATATAGGGAGCCTGCACTATTGTTCAGGGCTCAGAACTTGCTGTATTTTTGGTGACATTAGTCCCTCTGAGTCCCGATCGGTGATCCAATAAAGAATCTCTTCCTTCCTGAAGAAACCTGTGTCCATCTCTCTGTGCTTTGCTTCCGTCAGTTTCTCCGGTATCAAGACCACTTCATTAAGTTGAAGTGGTCTGGGTGCCTATAGCGGTCCTTTAAGTGCCGCATGCACCATTTAAAGATGACAGTAGATGTGTGTGAATAGTACAGATCATGCACATAATAAAATCAATACCTACGAAAACAATATTGAAGGTACATCATACAAAGTTTCAACAAGCATACCATGGAGCAGTGTCATTGAATTAACAATTAGAAAGATCACTTTCCAATACCTAAAGCATGTAATAGGCAAATGCTTAATAATCTTAATTGAGTAATGGGCTAAGAGCAGATAGTCTGCTGGATATACTGAGGTTCAGTGATGCACCTATATACTATCTTGTATTGTCGGTAGTCTTCCCTCTATGATCCTCAGGTAGTCCCTTTTTAGGTCACTCATTAGTATATGCTAGTACCCTTATAATAGACCTGGGTGTAGATACTTTGTTGTGTTAGGAATTAGATTCAATTTACTGCTCTCTCTGACATAGGAAGTTTATGTATCTCTCTTAATATGCTTTGATGCTGAGTTAATTATAATATGTTCTGGCCATGCTTAGACAGATTGCCTTAGTCTGGATTTCAGGGACTATTACTTGAGTTTTGCCTTATTGGTGCTGTTTGCTGGCTTCTGTTCTCTTTCGTCTGTTTTGTTTTCGTGTTTCAGAACTATATTTATCCTAGTATATCCAGCAGACTATCTGCTCTTAGCCCATTACTCAATTAAGGTATGATTATTAAGCATTTGCCTATTACATGCTTTAGGTATTGGAAAGTGATCTTTCTAATTGTTAATTCAATGACACTGCTCCATGGTATGCTTGTTGAAACTTTGTATGATTCAATATTGTTTTCGTTGGTATTGATTTTATTATGTGCATGATCTGTACTATTCACACACATCTATCTGTCATCTTTAAATGGTGCATGCGGCACTTAATACTCAGGTCACCTTGTGTGACATCACACTATGTACACTTGGACTTAGAGTCCACACATTTTCTCTACACACTGTTGCACCTTTTAATCAATATAACTTGGTAGTTTCACTTGGCGCTATTTGCCTATTTGACACCACATACACGCTATTTCTCAATAGTTCCGAACTCCCGGACTGTAACTATTCACTGTTCCGTCATAGTTTATTGGTCTCCTAGCAACCACGTCTGTGAAATGGGCACGCCCACACGGCACACATCACACGTCACGTGACGCATTACGCACACTTCCGGGTTCGGACCACTGGAGTGAGGGAACACTGCATGATTGGTGAGTAACCTTTTTTCATTCCCTCTATATTTCTGCCATATATGTTCGTAAATTGATCTTGAGGAAGACCTGAAGAGGTCGAAACGTCGATCGGATGTGTGTATCTTTGTTGGATATTAAATACCAGTGATTTCTTCTAAAGACCGCCGAGTGCATCTCTTTTGATTTATTGTCTATATTCAGCTTGGGATTGCACCAGGGCATATTTTTCATATATATACACAACATGAAATATTGTATGTGTGTGTGTCAGTGTCACAGTGTATATATATATATATATATATATATATATATACATATATACACGTGCGCATATATATAGTATTTATTATCATTTTATTGTCCTGATGAATGGCCCTATAATGTTTTTTGTTGTATTGGACGACCCAGAGTGCTGGATTGAAAAGTGTGTGTGTATATATATATATATGTATATTATTGGTATGTTCCTTTTTCTAATTCAAAATATTGGGTTGTTCAGGGTAAAAAGTTTAATTACTCACAAGCAGACACAGACAATCTCATGAACTAATTGATACAGCATTGATACACTGGCTCACAGACAGACAGACAATCTCTTTGATACACATAAGCTCACTGACATAAAAACACAAGCTCACTGATGTACACAAATATGCTCACTGACAGACAATCTTACTGACACATACAGAAAAAACTTACTGGTACACACACACAAACTTAGAACAACTCTAACACTCACACAAGCTTATTACAGACAAACTCATTCGTATACACACCCTCACTACAGACAAGCTTTCTGACACACATACACATGATCACTACAGACAAGCTCACTGACACACACATTCTCATTCCAGACAAACTCACTGACACACACATGGTCACTACAGACAAGTTTATTGACACAAAAATGCTCCCTCCAGACAAGCTCACTGACACCCACACACACCTGCTCACTACAGAAAGCTCACTGACTGTCAGGGCTTACCTGGGTTGGGAGTCCGGCAGGCAGGGACGTATGCTCACCCTTGCAAGTAAACACAGGCCGAGGTGGTCAGGCAAGAATTCACCTGGCCTGTGAGACAGTGCACGGGGGCTGTGCAGGATAATTCTCCAAATCGCAGTACAGGAAGGGATAAAGCAGAAGAATCGTTGTGGGAAGCCAAAGGTCAGAGGATGCCAGAAATCAGAATAAACAAAACAACAAGCCAAGGTCAAGAGTAAACTGAAGAACACGAAACAGCAGTATGATCACCAGAGTCAAGGAACTGACACTGCCTTCTGGGAGAGGCAGTTTTTTATACCATCATCTTCAGGTGTACCAAGAGTGACAGGAGTAATTCCAATGCATGTCCAGCCCCCAGTGCTGGATACAAGAAAGAGCTGGAAACTGGCATTACTAAGGCTGAATGGTGGCACAGAGGTAACATAGCAGCCCCAGGACTGCAAAGTACTCAGGTTCAAATCTGCTACTGGCCACTCCTGGGGCAACCTTGTTTAGCACTCCGGAAGTTACGGTGGGAACAGTGACACTGGCACACACACATACAAGCTCACTCACTAGCAGACATACACACACACACACTCACAATCATGGGCTGAAGCCTACCTGTCACAGAAGACTGTGGGAGACAAGGAGCTTGGGAGGTGATGTCTCCATTTTCTGACCTCTTCCTTCCAGGTCAGCAGCGTGTGTGGGGGCAGAGCTTGATCATGTGAGGTGGAGCTTAAATTCTGAAGGTGGGGCTTGAGTCAAAGGGTTGAAAATAGAGTCACCAATTGCTGAAGATTCAGGAGAGAGACTCAGAACTCCCTCCGGAGTTCTAAATGTGCTGCACCAGCACCTCCCTCCAGCCTCAGTCCCTCCCTTCCTTCCCTAACACAGGCTGTTACAGTCCAAGGAAAAATTATTTAAATTACACATCAGGGCTTCCTGCTAGCCCACTGGGAAATTCCCAGATATCCCGGTGGGCCAGTCCGGCCCTGTACACTACAGCCCCTGCACTAGCACACAAACACACACTCTATACCCCTATATACAGACACAGACACACATACTACTCTATATCTCCTATAAAAACACATACTATACCCGTATACACATTTTTCACCCCTACACACACACACACACTATACTCCTATACACACATGCACACTAAAACCCCTATCCCCTATTACCGCACTTATACTCACATGTACACTACAACCACTACACTACAACATGTACACTATATGCATACACACACTAAAGCCCCTAGATATGCACACACACAGTACAGCCCTTACATGCACACATAACACCCTCTAGGCCCAAACAGTCTGCGGGCTCTATAAGCACACACACACACACATCCTTCACAGCCCAGAAACACACACAATTTACAGTCCCTAGCCACACATAGTACGACGCAAACAGACTCCTTTACAACACAAATAGTCTTCTCTACACACATGCAATCCCAAAAGCAACCTCCAAACACATACAACACCACAGATAGATGCCAAAGAAGCAGTGTGCTGTGCTCCAGTACATAAACCAGAGGGAAAAGACACATAAGAAACCCCCCATATAAATCAAAATATTATCTAGATAGTCTAAAATACCCATATATAACTGTCCTATCTGTTGAGTGGTAGGAAATCGAAAGGACAGAAAGATGTGTATAGGGAAAAATAAAGAAGGAGAGAGGTAATCACCAGGGGGGTCCAGAGCAAAAAGAGGAAAGAACACCTCCACTGTAGATACCTCTCATATAGAAAACCAAATGCCCCAACTGGTAAGGAGACTGGCCGGCAAGGGTCTCATGTAGGCACAGCACAGATTTAATCTAACCATTATTAATGGTGTGGTGAGACTGTGGTCTATGATGAATAAATGTCCATATTGTCTTCACCTAGGTAGATTGTGCTTTTGCTAAAGTTTGGCATTACAGATTTGGTTTATTTTTGCACATAGATGAAACTGCATGAGTTAGAAGTAAACTGCGAATGCTAAGTTGACGAGGCATCTTTCTTTGGGCATTTATTAGGAGACAAAGCCTGGCAAACATGCAAAATATTTTCAGTCAGCGCTCATGTGTGGGAGTCACTGCTGAAATAAACTCTAATAACCTCTCCAGTATCCTAGCACATAGGTGAAAGGGGATTCATTGTCAGCAGCAGCCGTGATCTCAACATCAACACATGGTCAGCTCCAGTTCATGTACAAGAAAAAACAACGGGCTTTGTTCACTAAGCAGTAAATAGTAGTGAATTAAAAACCGAACTGTAAAACACATTAAATGTCCTGTTTTTGATTGAAATTTTACCAGATAAACCTCAAATAATTTTTAGAGGAGCCGAAAATCTGGGATATATTTTAGTCAAATATTGTCTTTATGAACCTCCAGAAAAAAACTTTTTTAAATATTCATCAAACATTTAAGAATGTGGAAACTGTATGGTCAAGAGGTTTAACAACCCGACACTCAAAAAATGTAATTTACTTATTTATTTGCAAATGCGAGTTATATTATGTGGGGATCACTACATGCCAAATACAGACAAGTGTGACATAACATATTAAATGGGTCAAAAGGAAATTAAATAGATTTTTTAATTGGATTATTTTACCTATAATTTTATAATTTCCTATAATTTTATAATTTTTTAAAAAAAAATTGGTTTTCTATTTATTTTCCACTCATCATTGTTGTTATTCATACCAATTTATCTTGTTTCCTTTTGGCCATTTTAGTAGGAGAATCGTACCTATAAAATTATTATGTAAACAGATATATTTAATTTCATGTATTTATTTAGTTACAACCTTTTTCACTTATTATAATGTCTGTTCATTTTGTCCACCTCTGGCGACTTCTAATTACATATATGAGTGTTGCTCATGAGAACTATATTATAACACAGATGAATTCGGTACATTATGGTGTAATTCATATTAGTCTAACAGCTAAGCCTGATCGAACTCCATCACAGAAACCTGAAGGAGGCGTGGAATGCACATGTGGAACGCAAGATGGCTGCTGGACCTGAAATGTAGATTGGTGGAATGTACAATGACGCCCAGGAACAACAATCCCAGACAAGGCTTGGAAAACATACATTATAAAAAAAAAGAAAAAAAAAAAAGAAAACATACATTATATAGGCCTGGGCCATTATGAGGCATGGAACACAAGCAGGCTCCAGGAGGAATCCATGAGAACTTGATAACAACAGGGCACAAATACTGATGGAAGCCTATTCAGTTTTGGTGAAACACGTTTTAGAGAGAGAAAATACCCACCGATCTAATTATATGACATGGTTAAATTGAAGGCAGGTGTTTGTTTTTTGAAATACCAGATCAGTGGATTTAAAATACCAAATCAGCAAATATCATTATTTATTTGTATGTTGGTTTTAACTTCTGTATGCTACTTAAAAACTCCCAAACAACTTGTGCTTTGGTTCGGGACTTTTTTGTCTTACTGCAAAGTACCAATAAAGTTGACGTATGACGTCACGTCCGGGCGTTACGGCGTATGCCTGATGGCCATCAAGAGGCGTATTTAAACTCTGAAGAGCACAGGGATTGCAAGCTCCTGAGGAAGTCTCCTGAGATGAAACGCGTCGAGCAGCAGCTAGGCAAGGTGAATAAGTGAGTCCAGAAGTCCAGCAGCAGCACTGGAGTTCTGAGTTTCTGGATCCATAGAACAATTTCCATCGTGGACTGAACTGCACCTATAGGACTTGGTGGAACTTTTGCCTTTGGCAACATGCACTTTTGCACATTAATTTAATTATTATCTGCCACTTCTCCATGTGACTGTGTTTGTTTGTCTAAATATATTTTATGTTTATTAAAGGTTACTCTATGATTTTTATGTTTTTTTTCTCTTTTTATGAGATTTCAACACTCCAGCTGGTAATTATGAATATACAGTAGTGGTTGTGGCACCATGGTCCCTTTTGTTTTTCTCTTTTCTGCGATTTAGAGGGTTGGGGAGTGACCCCATATTCAGAGGCTGTCTGCACATATCTGCACTTCATCTCCCACTCACTAATTGTTTGTATTTGCTTTCAAACACAGCCCTGGCTATTCAGCATCTTCTCATAAAAACGCATTGAATCAATGAGGAGGGATAGTCCAGCTTGACTAAGGAACTTGGGTATGATATGGGTCTGTTTGTCGTGAAGATCCTGAGGTAGTCAGATTCTCTGGGTTCCGTTAGAACATGCAAACGAAAAAAGACTCCAATAGTGTAATCTGTATCAGGCAGTAAAAGCAGGGGAACTTCACAGCACTTATACTCCTACTCACCTATTTGAGAGCTAGAACAAACTCCGGTGTAGCTGGCATTCAGTGGCATTGATCCCTCACTGATAGGATGTAGGTGGTGGTTGATGTAAAGTGGCTTGAAGTGAAGGTTTTCTCGGTATGGGGAGAAAAATAAAACAGAATAAAAAGATTAAAATATAAATGGGATTGTACTCACATTTGAGTGAGCAGGATATACTGCTCACTATAATTGTGTGGGGGATATAATCCCCACCTTGGATTCTTGGATGAGTATATGCTCCAATGTTCTTAATGACCAGTTAGATTATAAAGTAAATAAAATAGTATATAGAAAAGGTATATGGCACACACAAGGTTAAGGGGCCAATATTCCTTTAATAGTACATATAAAAAGCATTAAAAACAGCCAAAACGCATTTCGCCAACACAGGGCTTTATCAACTGGCAGTAAAAAACAATGACCTGGTATCTAAGGGTTTTTATAAGCATTACAATCAACTGCTTATTCAACTCTTGGTGCCAAAATGACATCATGTGCATAACACAATATAGAGTACAAAACAAAGTTAAGGTATTGGTAAACTAACAAATAAATATATGTCTGATATCATGTATTATTCATTAATTAAAACGAGGATTATACATAAAGATTTTGTCTA